GAAAAATGAGACAAACATAAGAAAAATGAGACAAACATAAGAAAAATGAGACAAATATAAGAAAAATGAGACAAACTTAAGAAAAATGAGACAAACATAAGAAAAATAAGACAAATATAAGAAAAATGAGACAAATATATAAATGTAATATATTAAATTACATATAAAAAATAATAAATGTAATACGAAAAAAAATAATAAAAAAATATATAAATAAAAGTTATAAATATTAAATTATCTTTTTATTTTTTTAAAAAATCTTTTTATTTTTTTTTTAAAAAAAATGTTAATTATCACTAATAAAAGAATTAAGAATATTAAATTTTATAATAATTTTATTAATAAATTAAAGAAAGAAAATTTTACATATAAATAACAAAATAATAATTCAAATAATAAAATTATTAAAATAATTTATTGTGATATATTTAATATCTTAATTTTAGCTATAGAATCATATATTAATAATCATGGATATAATAAAAAAATATATTATAATAAGAAAAATATTAACTTACGTAAATATATTAATATAATATTATTAAATTATAATATTAGAAAAAATCATATTATATTATTTTTAATATACTTTAATAAATTTAATAATATTATACAAAAAAAATAATTATATATTTATAAATAGAGGAATAACAATATTTATAATTTCATTAGCTATCGCAATCAATTATCTTGAAGATAATACAGTTTCTATTTCATATTGGTCAAAAATTTTATAACTTAATTATTCCTCTTTAAAAGAATATAAAATATTATTTTTAAAAGAAATTGATTATAATTTATATGTAAATGATAAATATTTTTACAATTTTCAAGATAATTTATTTAATTTTTATAAAAATTATATTTATTCTGAATTACAATATAAATAATATTTTATATAATTTATAATATATTTAATAAAATTTAATTTATTTATTAATAAAAATTTATATAATATTAATATTATATTATTTTTCTAATTTTTCAACATTATTTTTAATATCATTTTTAATATTATTAATAAATTTTTGATCAACTTCTAATTTTTCTATTCGAAAATTAATTAATTCAGCAAAAGAATTAAATAAATATTTTATACAATTACAATTTTTTACTTCATTACAATTACAATAAATTAATATATCAATTATATTATTAATATTATCATAATGATCTTTTTCTAATTTATATATTTCATCAATAGTATTTTTCATAATCTTTACTTTATCTTTAATACATTCACAAATTTTATTATTATGATCACAATCATTAAATATATCAAGTACTTTTTCCATTTTAATAATATTATTATAATTAATAAATTTTAAAAAAAAATACATAATCAAATAGGTAGTTTATTTATAGTTTTTTATTAATATAAATAAATTAAAATAATAATATATACAATATTAATTAAATTAAAAAATTACTAATATAAATAAATTAAAATAATAATATATACATTAATTAAATTAAAAAATTAATAATAAAAAATAAATTATTTTTCTTCTGTTATTTTTGAAATTATTTTTTCTAATTTTTTTAATCTATTTTTTATTTCTTTTATTTCTTTTTTTAATTTTCTATTTTCTTTTAATATCTCTTTATTTTTATTAAAATTTCTATATAAAGTAGATCTTGAAATGTTTATTTTTTTAATATCATCCTCCTTAATCTCAATTTCATTATCATCCTTACTTTCATTAACAGAATCCTCTTCTAGTTTTATTTTTTTATTTTTCTTAACTGAACTTTCTTCATTTTCTATTTTGTCATCAAGTTTTCTTTTTCCTTTTTTATCATTAGAAGATAAATTTATAATTTCTTCTTTTTCATTTTGAATAAATGATTTTTCAATATTTAATAAAAAATCATCTTTTTCTTTATTATGATAGGATCCCAAAATTAATAATGAATCATTAATTTGATCATTTTGTATTTGTAAATTATTATCTTCAATAATATAAGATTTAATATTTGAAGATGATGAAGAAGATAAAGAAGTAGATATTTTATTTATTATTTTTTCAAAATCTTCATTTGATATATTATTATTATATATATATTTTAATATATCATCATCAGATTCTTTATCATTATTATTAATAATATTATTATAAGAATTTAATGAAGAATTATTAATTAAAGGTGATTCAGGATTATATTCTTCATCAAAATAAAAAGTGATATTTGAAGATAAATTATTTAATGATGATGAAGATGTATTATTCAAAGACATTTTAAAATATGTAAAAAAATGTTATTTGATTTGTAAAAGTTGTTATTTGATTTGTAAAAGTTATTATTTAATTTGTAAAAGTTGTTATTTGATTTTAAAAACCATTTTTTAACCATATTTATAAGTTTTTTTAATAAAATTATTAATTTTTATCATTAAAAAAATGTATAATGATAAAAATTATTAATTTGTTTTGTTTATATTTTTTTTTATTATTTATTTGATCATATGATCATATGATGATCATTATTGTTATACAAAAAAAAATCTTAATCTAATTTAAATAAAATTATTTTTTAATATTCATAAAAATTCAAATTTAATTTAAATAAAATCAAGTTTTAAAAATTATAATTCGTTTAATTATTATATTCTTAAATTCTAATTCTTAAATTCTATTTTATATTATAAAAATCTTAAATTCTAATTCTTAATTAATTAAAATAAATAAGGAAAAAACAAGTTTTAAACCAATTAGATTCAAAATTAATTTCATCACATGATTAAATTTCATAATATTTTCTAAGAACTTTTTCTATTTTTAATTATAATCTTTTTTATTATTAATTATAAATAAAATAAAATAATATTTTTATTAATAATTAAATTATATAATAATTAATTAATTAAAATAAATAAGTAAAAAACAAGTTTTAAACTAATTAAATTCAAGATTATTTATCATCGTATGATTAGATTTTATAATAATATTTAAGATCTTTTTTTATTATTAATTATGTAATAATTAATTTATGTAATAATTAATTAATTAAAATAAATAAAGAAAAAACAAGTTTTAAACCAATTAAATTCAAGATCATTTATTATCACATGATTAAATTTCATAATAATATCTAAGATCTTTTTTTATTATTAATTAAAAATAGAATAAAAGATTAATTTTATTAATAATTAACTTATGTAATAATTAATTAATTAAAATAAATAAAGAAAAAACAAGTTTTAAACTAATT